TGCATTTATACGAGCTGTGGTGACAGCATAGTGCATAACCTCACGGTACTCACATACCTTAGGTTCTCAGTATTGTATCATGGGCTAATGTAATTATTAATATGAATTTATGATTGCTAAATTGATAAGTTTATGTGTGAGATTCATGGTTATGTAAATGACATTGAATAAATATATGATTGCATGTTATTTCATCTCACGATAGTATTATGATTATATATATTATTATTATGCCTCACTAAGTCGATGACTTAGCGTGTGAGTGTTTCACACGTAGGATCTGAGAAGGTAGACAAGCAAGGTTAGTCAGCTGGGACAACATTACTCCTGCAAATATCAGATCAAAAGCAACTTAAACAGTAGGTTATTTTGGTTTTGTAAATCGATGTTGACATGTAATCAAAGGTTTAAGTTGTGTATGCTCTGATTATTTTGTAAACTTTGTATAAACTTATGTATAATATTGGATTTTCTTAATATATATGTTCAAATGTTCTAGTATTTTGTATAAGTATATTGTTTTGAAAAGTCAATGTGACATCTCGGACTCGTATCCGGGTCAGGTACGGGTTGGGGGTGTTACAGGAAGTGCAAGGAGATTACCTTGATTCAAAAAAGATGTTTTTAGCTCCATGATCGTCACTTCTGATGTTTGTTGCTCAAGAAGGTCAGTTTAGACCAAATCCTCGTCTCTTCAACGATCTATTATCTCACTTTTATGTCCAATTTACTGTAAAATCTTAATTTTTTTGTTTAGTTATGTGCTATTAATTTGATTAATACTGAAATAGAACAATTGCCTGGCATAATAATATATAAGTTAATAAAGACAGTGGCTCCTGATTACAAACATTCAAACGATATCCTAGCCTACTCTAGGGTGGTTTTATCAAGTTGTTTAGAAGAAGAATCAAGTTTAATAGGCCTAAAATTGATCATGAAATGGGTTTTTATGAAGAGATAAGAGAGTACCTAAATATTGAGCTTTGAAGAGTCACTATAGGCGCGACAATGGTGTCTGAAGGCGCGAAGATGTTGACCAAAGGCACAACGATGATGCTTGGGCACGACGATGTGGGCTAAAGATGTTGTATACCAAAGTGAGGAAGAAGAAGTTTTTTTAAAGAAGAGGTTGAAATGTATTTTGGGGATCGAGAGGGGGAAGGCATATGTTATCCTTTTGCGGCATTTTCCATTAAAACACCATTAATGTGTGCATTTTTGCGACGTTTTCACAACAAATGCCACTATGGTATGCTAGGGATCGGGTAGGGGAGGGGTATATATTATCCTTTTACGACGTTTTTTTAGAAAAATGCCACTATGAACGAACCCTATAAAATACTCTTTATCACGACATTTGTTGGAAAAATGCCACTATGAACGAACCCTCTTACAGTGTTTGTATAAAAACGCCACTAAAGTACTAATCTATCACGACATTTGTTGGAAAAACACCACTATAAACGAACCCTATTGTGGCGTTTATATAAAAACACCGCTAAAGTAATATTCTATCACGACGTTTGTTTAAGAAACGCAACTAAAGTATCATTTTGTAGCATTTGGATTATAAACGCCACTATTTGTTTAAAGTTTATGGTGTTTACTCTCCAAACGCCGCTAAAACTGCCGCTACAGAACAATTTTGCTGTAGTGGTAACATTACTTAATGTCTAAGTGACTATCTTGTCATAGTTTGATCATATAGATTATTAAAATCTTTTAAAAGTTAAGTGGTTAAAATTAGAAGAAAATGAACCAAAAATGACATCTTGTATAATTTACCCTTATATTATTACTAATGGTCGGTTTTAGGGGTGAGCTTTCGATCGAGTTGAGTAAAAAAATTTTGAGTTATTTGAGTTTACGAGTCCTATTTTATAACTCAAATTTTATTTGAATTTTTTCGAGTCGAGTAGAGTTATTTGATCTCTTTTATATTTAATTGTAAATATTTATAATAGAGTTAATTGCATCATAATTTGCAAATAAGGTGATTGGGTTGTCGCTACCGGCCACCACGTCATTTTTTTTTATTCCGGCCACCGTCTACTGTTGTGATGGTGGTCGTTCTGTCTCAAAATTCATGAGTCAGTTCGTGTCAACCCCTTGAGTCCAAATCTGATGGTTGTTTCATCGGAAAATATCTCAAAATTTGTTAATCTCGATTTAAATGTTTCATCTTCCTTACTTTTAATCTCCAAGACTTCAAAACAAGTTCTAACAAAATGGAGGTTGGATTCGAACTCAAGGTGTCGAGGCGAAGTGACCCATGAAATTTGGGACCGAATGACCACCATCTACGACGGTCGACGGTGATCGACGGTGGCATCCAACCACCTTATGTTTTTTATTTTATAGTTCAGTGAGCAAAATAAGAGTGAGAGTAAAGTTCAATGAGAAACAATGTAATTTATTTACTCTTTATATTTTCAATTATTTTATATTAAATAATAATAAAAATGACATGTCATCCCCATGTTAGAGAATTAACAACAAAGTGAGCAAGATAATTCAATCTAAAAAGTTCAGTGAGCAAAATAGAAAAACTGAAAATACGATGAGTAAAATATGAGAGAGATTAAAGTTTAGTGAGGAACGTTGTAATTTACCTATTTAATTTTACCCTTAAACTATCATTAAAATATCAAATAAGTCATTAAACAATAATTTTATATCTAATTTAGCCTTTCTAATTTTTAATTTTTTTCAAACACCACATCACCGTCACCTGAATTATTTGGGTCTGTCCTGAACTGAGCTTCTCCGTTGCAAATCAGTCTCTTTTCTTTTTCATGTATCTTTAAAAAACAAGGATTTTTCTCCCTATACGCAGCAAACAAAAAGAAAAATTTGATCTTTAGTCCGACCCGCAAGAAACCAATCCACCTCAAGTCGTCAACCATGAAAAACTAATCAGTCTGTACTTTCCCTTTGTTGTCGCGTTGAAAAAGAGATAAAAAGATGGGACCGGGATGCAAAGCAGGGATTAGGCGTTCAAAGGGCTCACGGTTAGTGCAGGGTTTGATAAACTGTTTTAGAAGTGTGTGGTTTAAATTACGACTAAAATACAGGAAAAGAATAAAAAATGGGTCGTATTTCGTGAAAAAAGGTTGTCTGAAAATTGCATAAATTCCGCAGCTTATTTGGTGGGAGATGAAGACATCCTCAGATGCGCTATTGTTGCCCTCAGTTAGCATGTACTAGTAAGATTAGCAAAAGGGGAAAATATGTTGGAATGACTGTAGATACATAAGATTCGTGATTCCCATATTTGTTTTCGTTGAGGTTTTTTTTTTTAAATTGTTGATTCTTTGTATACTTGTTGATTTTGTTGGATGGAATCCATAAAAAAGACCTTTGTAATTTGCTGAGAATAAGATCCAAAGGGAAAAAAAACACAAAGAGTGATTTTCATTCATGATGGTATTATATTCCCTTCTCAATGAGAGACTTTCACGAATTGTAAAAACTTGGATTAGAATTTGTTTTTGCTTTTATTTTAAGATTGTCTGCTTCGTCTTGCAAATAAGATATGGCTGCAAACATCCCCATTGAGGAATTAACGCTTAATCATTTCATTTCATTGGTTTTTGTTTTATAGCATCATTTTGAGTGCATCAGATTGATGGTATTCAATACTAACTAAGGTGTCTATAATCATAGTGCTCACAAAGTAGCCATCATGAAACTCTCGATAACCCATCAATACTAACCAAGAAACGATTATGCTACCTAGATTAGCTTTTGAAACAAAGGGATTGACTCGAGCCCATAAAAGAGCAGAGATTGATCAATTACAAAAACTTCCTCTCTTGGGATATGGTGGATGGATGGCCTGCAAATCTCCGCTTCTCGTTTGAGAAATGTACCTTCTATTTCAAGGTAGCTGCTGCCCCAGCTGTAGTTGCAATTCCGAAAGGCCTCTCTGTTGTAATCACGACATCTTTAGTTCTTGGTAATAGAAAAACGGCTCAAAATGCACAGAAAATCCTTGTTTTTTTGTTTGTTGTGTTTAGGTGTGAAAAATCCTTGCTTTTTAAAGATAGATGAAAAAGGAAAGAGACTGATTTGCAATGGAGAAGCTCGGTTCAGCGCATACCCAAATATTTCAGGTTAGGGTGGTGGGGTGTTTGAATTTTTTTGAAAATTATAAAGCTTTTGGGGTAAACTAGATACAAAATCATTATTCAAGGACTTATTTGATATTTTAATTATAGTTTAGGGGTAAAACCAAATATTAATCTTCTTTGTTAACGTTGATATAGCGTCAATTTAACGGGATAAAGGTAGAGGGGTCAATTTGTTACAAATCGATAATGTTAGTGACTAATTTGTTACTTTTGAAACTTCAATGAAAAAAATAAAAATTTACTTAAACATTAATGATCATTTCTATAGTTTAACCTTAATTCTTTATAATATTATCATACATCCCAAGTAAACAATTTTCTATAATCATATATAATATGCATGTTATATCTTTTCATATTTTTCATATATATATATATATATATATATATATATATATATATATATATATATATATTATACAAAATTGTGAGACTCGATTTAAACTTAAAAATTAATCTATTAATTATTAAAATTTAAGTTATTAAACTTACTTTTTAAATTTGTTTAAATTCTATTTTATAACTTAAATTTAAATTGTTTCAAATTAATTTAAATTTATAAAATTAGAAATCAATTTTAAAAAATTAATTTTTTTCAATTAAATCGAATTTTGTTCAATTGGCTGCGGCCGGCCGATATTGGGCAATAGGGAAAGGGATGGGTTTGGGCCTTACTGATTGGAATCTAAGTATCAAACTTTGAAACGGAGCTCAAGTCATTCAATGAACACTTGACACCGCTGCGGTGTGGACCCCACACCAAGTACTCGTACGACATTCATTCGCTAAAAATGATTACTATTCCCTGAAACTTAATACTAATATTTAATTAGTCCTATTACTTAACCTTTACCTTCTGTTTGGGAGTTGCAGGGAACAAGAGAAGCAAGCATCAAATCCTCAGCTCTCACATTTCCCATTAATTATTCTGTGAACAGGGTAAGTTTGAAGTTCCCTTTCTGATTCTCTCTTTTTTTGTAATTTGTAAAAGTTTCCTTATCTGCATTCGAATCCAATTCTGATTTTGAGTTGTCATTAATGAATCTCCTTTTAGATGTTCAATTAATGTTTACCTTATTCATAATGTGGTTATCCTCAAACATTAGAGTTTCTAATTTCTAAGCATCTTCACATATTGTTTTATTCCATTACGAATTGAAGGTTTTCCCTTTTTGATTTGAATTTCCAAGTTTAAGCAATCACGCTTCTTAGTTTCTGATTTCTTTTTTTTTTCCCATTTAACGTATGAGGTTTATCTTGTTTTCTCAGGTTAGGAGGAATTCAAGTCTCTCCAATCAATTGTGTTTTGTTCTGTGATTAGTCGCAATAAGGGACAATAATTTCAATAAACTTTTAGAAAGAAAAAACAACTCTCCTTTTTTGTATAGGAAGGAGAAGCATGCATTTAATTACCAATTTAGAAATCTTTTGTTGGTGGATCATCTCCGAAAACATCAGCTCTTAGATTCGTTACAGCAACATTTCAATAACACGTAGTTGGTTGGTTGGTTGGTCTTCATAGATTCCGTGTTAGATATTTTTTAGGACTTTAACTAGTTAGGAAACCATGACATTGGCTTCCCCAAAAGGTTCTAGTAAAATGACTGCCTTACCTCGTAGCCTTTCCTCCATTGTGGCTTCAGTCGTAGTACTAGCAACATTCTTGATTTTTGCCTCTTTGCTTCTGGTTTCATTACCCTTTGGTTCAGCTGTTAGAGGATATTTCTATGGTGTCGATAGGAAAATAACTTTGCATGATTCTACCTTTGATCAAAGTTCTGATAAGGATGTAAATTACACTCATCAGAACTCACCATCTGGGTCAAATTTAGAAATGCCCATAATGAGTTCAAATACTTCAGCTGTTGATAAAACATCCATAAGATCTTCCACTGATAAGGATTTGCTACCAACTGAGTCTAATAAGGAACTGCCCTCTAGTCCTAAAGATTTGGTTGATTCAAAAATTAACAAGATGTCGAAGAAACCTGTAGAGATTCCAGGCTCATCATCTAGAGTAACAGAAAAGGTGGTGGTCACTTCCAGTTTTGCATCTAGCAATGCATCTATGAGCAATTCAGCTGATTCAGGTATTATTTCTTTTTACACTTTGCTTCATAGAACATGTGATTTTTTTGGTTACAAGAACGTGTGATTTAGATCTAGTATCACTTGTTGTACATGTTTGTTTCAACGTTTTTGCTATAGAAGATCTGGAATCTGCATCCTTTACCAGAAACATATAGGACTTTCTTGGTTCTGGTTTATTATCTTTTCTCACTAGGTTTATGCTAGGTCTCCGACATGGTAACTTGCTGTTACTAGCTTTATTTATAATTGTGCCAAATTTGTCCAAGTCTTACATCCTGCAGACACTTGATCCCTGGATTATGTGCAAAGTTTCTTCAAGAAGCTAGAACAAATGCAGGATGCCATTATTGAAATGTTTTATGGTCAGTTATCTATTTTATGTAATGTCCTGAAATGGATGGTCCCAGATCAGTCATTTGTTATTAGAAGTTCTGATAATGTTTTTTTTTTCAATTTAATTGTAATTTTCTTGATCTGCGGATAACTGCCACAAAAAATATCTGATAATTTACAAAGAGAAGAGAGAGATAGATCCATATACATTCTATCTCCTGTATTGATCCCTATTTGATCTCTCGTCTATGTAAGAAACAATGTTGACTTAAATTGTTCCTCCTAATGGTTTTGCTTGTTATCTTTTCTGCTGGCGCCCTTTAGTCATGGTTCTCATTTTCATTGGTTTCTCTCTAGGCTGTGACCTGTACCAAGGAAATTGGTTCTATGATCCACAAGGACCATCATACACCAACAACTCTTGTCCAGTCATAACACAGATGCAGAATTGCCAGGGTAATGGGAGGCCTGACAAGGAATATGAGAATTGGCGTTGGAAACCCTCTAAATGTGACCTCCCCAGATTTGATGCCAAGAAGTTTTTAGAGTTGATGAGAGGAAAGACACTTGCTTTCATCGGTGATTCTGTTGCTCGAAATCAGATGGAATCACTGTTGTGTCTTCTCTGGCAGGCAAGCATCTGCATTTCTTAAAGTGCCAGTTATTTTTCCAAACAAAAAATCGTTTTGCAGTAAACTCTAAGATTGGTCCAAAGTTTGCATTATAATTTGCTAAGGGTATTGTGGCCGTCTTGATTACCTTAATCTGTTGTTTAACTTCCAACAGTTTATGAATGGATTGGCTGTAGCCTATGTTACTCGGATTTGGGTGTGAGTCGGCCTTAGGTCTGTATACGGCATGGGTATGTTCAATTCTTTCCAAGTTTTCCTAGGTATTTGGAGGATCTTTGAAGGGTCATACCTCTATACCCATGTTGGAAAAACATAGACTATAGCTTTGTGACAAGCTTATGAGGCTATAGTTTTCATAATTATTAGCATTAGTAAATACTTTAGTAAATTTTTGCTCTCTGTAAATTGTTAGAAACTAGATTTGTATTGGGCATTTTTTCTCATGACAGAACTTAAGGTATAATTTCAGGTTGAAGTTCCGAAAAATCGAGGAAACCGAAAAATGCATCGATATTATTTCAGATCATCATCTGTAATGATTGTTCGGATATGGTCATCTTGGCTTGTCCGTCACACTACTGAAAAGTTTGACTTTGCCTCAGAGGGTGTTACCAAGTTGCATCTTGATGTTCCTGATGATGGCTTCATGGAATTCATCCCACAGTTTGATGTGATTGTTCTTTCCTCTGGTCACTGGTTCGCCAAACAGTCTGTCTATATCCTGAACAACGAGATTGTAGGAGGACAATTATGGTGGCCGGATCATTCTCGACCTATGAAGGTCAATAATGTCAACGCATTTGGAATATCTACAGATACAACTCTGTCTGCACTTGTTACACATCCTAATTACACTGGTCTGGCCATTGTACGTTCCTTTTCTCCGGATCATTACGAAGGCGGAGCTTGGAATACAGGTGGATCATGCACTGGAAAAGTGAAGCCGCTTGCAACTGGTGAATTAGTAGAGAATGGGTTCACAAACGTGATGCACAAGCAACAGGTGATGGGTTTCGACCGTGCTTTGAAGAAGGCAACAAAGAAGTCCAAGTTGAGGTTGATGGATATTACTGAAGTTTTCGGATACCGGCATGACGCTCATCCAGGTCCCTACCGTAGTCGTGATCCGAATAAGATAACAAAACGTGGGGCCGATGGGAAGCCTCCACCGCAAGATTGCTTGCACTGGTGCATGCCGGGTGCGGTTGATACCTGGAACGAATTTGTGCTTGAAATTATAAGAAGAGAATTTGAGGGCAACCAAGACTTCTCGTCATGAGGATTACATGACACGATTGTGCTTTTCTGTAATATAATTATTGAGACAGTAATATATTGAGTGGAGTGAGGGCTAAGCTAGTCCGTTTGTTTATTGTAAGTGAAATAATTAACGTATAAATTTAAGATTTATTTGATGTCACCTCCTTTGTGGTACCAATTTAAGAAAATAACCTCAGTGACAAAAAATGTCTTATAATATACGATTTTAATCAACTTTTTTTGGATTTGTCAAAATGACCAACTAAATCGCAATGCGATCGATAATTCGCAACGTGATCTCCGGTATCGCAAATCAGTTTCCAGATTCGCAACGCGATTCTGACTATCGCATTGCGATTTTCCAAATTCGCGTTGCGATTTTCCGACTATCGCAATGCGAATATGTAAATCGTAATGCGATTATGACTATCGCAACGAGATTCTGACTATCGCAACGCGATGCTAACTATCGCAATGCGATTTTCAAAGCGCCATTATTATCGCAACGCGTATTTTTTTCAAATTCTAAACACGAATATTAATATATCGGAACACTGAACCGTTCACAGTATATCCCGTAATCGCAACTCATAACCTAAAACCCTAAATCACAACTCAGTCTCATCTCCATCTCTTACTCTCTAAGGCGACATCCATCCCCATCTCCGACGAAATCAATCCCCATCTCCGACGAAATCCGTCTATCTCAATCTCTCAGAGCCACCCTCACAATCATTCAATGTCAGAAATGGAAAATCAACCAAATCGACCATCGATGGTTAGTTTTTTTAATTATTTTTATTTTGAAAATTTTGCATTATTATTAGGTTTTTCATATTGAAATTGATGATAAGTTTACTGGTAATTTCAATAATAGATTAACCATGTCATTTAGATTGCTTATTAAATTCATTCGATTGCTGCCAATACTGCTAAACTGTTTAGTCTTTAAACCCTGTGAATTTAGTATTTGTCTTTGTTTTGTCTTTTGGTTGAAGTAATGCAATCCATTCAAGTTTCAATTTTAGTATTTGAAACCGAGAATCGCAACGCGAAATGAAAATCGCAACGACAGAATCGCAATGCGATTTTAGTTTCGCGTTGCGATAGTCAAATTCGCGTTGTGATAGTCATTTTCGTGTTGCGATTTTCATTTTCGTGTTGCGATTTTAAGTTTCAAAAACTATTCTTCTTCTGCAAATTGAAACTTGAATGAATTGCATTACTTCAACAAAAAAACAAAGACAAATACTAAATTCACAGTGTTGCAAATTTAAGTTTGAAGAATAAACTACTACTCTTTATGTTTATTGTTCTGGATATATCTTTACAGTGTAGTTTTTGATATATCTTCACAGTGTAGTTTTTGGTATATCTAACTTGGTATGTTTATTGTTTTTGTAGAACTTTTATTCGGCTCAATTGACCTTAAGAAATAAATTAAGCCTGGCCAAAACAATTGCGTCGAAGCTTTCACCTGCACAAAGAAAAATATTTGAGGATACTTGCTTCGGGCCATGGCTGAAAGTACAACATCCGGGTGGAGATGCTATGTTGACCCATCTGTTTCTTCAAACCATGACTAGCGATCTACCAGAGACTATACAATGTCGTGATGAAGAGATATAGTTTGATTTTCCATCGGCGTATACATGTTTTGGGCGGGAGGAGTTTTGCTTAATCACCGGTCTACGCTTCGGACACGATGATGTAGGTCGGTACACTAGACATATTATCCGCCTATCATGGTTATCCCGAGTTTTTCCTGAGCTGTCAATGGAGAAGCCGAATTTACACGTGGAAGACTTGACGAGATTATTGAATAAGAAAGATGGTTTTACTCGGATGGATGACGTCGATGTTGTCCGAGTATGCCTTCTAATACTTTTGCATGCCGGCTTTTTAGGCAGAGAGGCCAGACAACCTATTCCTAATGATCTAATTAAATTGGTAGAGGACCTAAATGCATGGAACCTATTTCCGTGGGGTTCATATCTATGGAAAGCTACATGGAAAAAGTTGTCGTCTGCCTTTGATGATCGAAAAAGTTTGCGTGGCGATGGTTCCAAATACACTTTGTCAGGCTTTATTTGGGCCTTTAAGGTAAGAATTTTTATATAATGTTTCCAAAATTATAATTAATTATTATTTAACAATTACTAATGTTTGTTATTATATTGTTTGTAGATTTGGATATTTGATGCCTTTCCCGCCATGCAGACATATGCATTAAAAACTTCTAATGATATTCCTAGGGCTATTTCCTGGAAGAGGAAACAGACCTTGCAGCAATGGGAAGATTTACTACCGTATACGACAATAAATAATGTAAGTTAACACAAATACTACCATATGTTTATAAACAAGTTATTACTAGTACACGTTTAATTTTGTTTGAGCTTTTATATTGTTAGGAGTCCAACACTCCATTACAGAGGCTGACACCCACGAAAGCTGAGCTTTCCACTGATTGGTGGCAAGCTAGTAAGCGTTTTTTTGATGGCACGGATGATGAGCAACCTCCACTTCGAGAGCCATTACCTCACCCAGAGCCATCACCTGATCGACCCGACTATACACCTCCACAACGAGAGCCATCACTTATTCTGTCACATCATCGAGCCTCTTCTCCACCATCACCTCATGATAGGCGACCGACAAAGATGCCACAACGTTTATCTCCCTATTCTCCACCTCCACCTCCACGGGATGAGTTAGGGGAGTTACGTGATGAGGTCAATGCCTTGCGTGAGGAGGTCGGTACTTTACGCGATGACAATGGTGCATGGCGTGTTGAGGTGTCTACTTTACGTGGTGAGGTAGCCGCTCTACGTGAGATGGTAGCATCATTACAGAATGAGGTTCATACTCTACGCAACGAGGTAAGTTTAATATTTTTTATATTTAACTTGATGATAAATTTACTCGTAATTTCAGTTAGATTAACCATTTCACTTAGATTAACCATTTCACTTAGATTGCTTAGTAAATTCATTCGGTTGCTGCTAATACTGCTAAACTGTTTATTCTTTAACCATGTGAAGTTAGTATTTGTTTTTGGTTATCTTTTGGTTGAAGTAATGCAATCCATTAAAGTTTCAATTTGCAGAAGAAGAATAGTTTACTTTTGCAACGCAAAAATGACTATCGCAACGCGAATTTGACTATCGCAACGAAAGAATCGCAATGCGAAATGAAAATCGCATTGCGATTCTCTCGTTGCGATAGTCATTTTCGCGTTGCGATAGTCATTCATGTTGCGATTTTAAGTTTCAGATTCTATTCTTTTTCTGCAAATTGAAACTTGAATGAATTGCATTACTTCAACCAAAAGACAAAGACAAATATTAACTTCACAGTGTTGAAATTTTAAGTTTCAAGAATAAACTACTACTCTTTATGTTGTCATTGAACTTGCACTAAACCTATATGTTGTCCTTTTTATATAAGTGATTACTTCTGGAATGTTATCTGATGCATTTTGTGAACAATGATAGAATAATGACTTGGGTGAATACCGTGCAAGTTTGAAATATATTTGTCTTTGTTTTCACTGTTTAATATCATGTCTGTTTATTTACTGATTTTTGTATTAATTTATTTTTAGCGGCCCGTTAAGGTGGATGCTCTACGTCGGGTTTTTCTTGCAAGACGGAGTTCACGCATCAGACGGCGTGCACGTGCCATTAAGTCTCCGTTCACCCCAATAGTGTAAAGAATCCGTAAGAAAAAGCCCGACTCACCTGTCATCGTTTAAGAGGCCTCCCCTATCGTTCAAGAGGCCCCTATCATCCCTCATGAGTCCCCTCCCACCGTTCAAGAGGCCACTGTCATCGTTGAAGAGGTCTCTCCCAACATTCTAGAGCCTGATTCACACGGCGTAATATATCGAATTATTGAGAAACCCCCTCACGTGTCAGACATGATGGATGACTGTTGGCTTTCATATAAGTTACCGGCCAGTACCATTCCGGTAGATGAAGTGGAGAGGAAACAACTACCGGAAACAATTCTGGATAATACCCTTTGGGCTAAGACCGCAGTTGATTTTTATCTACATGAGCGGAGCCAAGGGTGTTACACTGACATATACAAACTCGACGATGATATGCATTTATTAATTGAACGGTCTTGGTGGGGTGTGTTATTAGGGGTTGAAGATAATGGCTATTTCGATGGGGGGTAAGTCTTATATTTCTTCTTATATTTCATTTTGATTATTTTTTTTAAATTTATGTAATTCACTAATATATGTCTTTTTTTGTAAAACAGTATATTGATGCATGGGTGTCACGTCTTCTAATAGTAAGGAAATTGAAGAAAAAAAATACGTGATATACAATTATGCCGACGTCTTTTCACGTAGTTCACTTGAAGAATCAACGACAGGAATCATATGTGTTGGCTAATGGACAAGCTAAACTTTATCATGCATGGTGGGAGGTCGATAAGGTTAGTATTTATTTTTTTTTAAATATTTTAAAGGTGTTCATAAATAAGTGCGCAATTTGAATTATTACTTATGATTGCAGGTTTTTATCCCTGTTTTGGAACGTACTCATTGGCTTCTCGTCGAGCTTCAGCTTCCATCCCTGAAGACAATAGTATATGACAGCATGATAAATTACATATCATTGTCTGATTTGAGAGATATTATTAAAGGATGGAGCTCTCATTTGGCTAAATTCTTGGATGCGATTAATTATTGGACTTATTCTGGAAACAAGAAGCCAAATAAGTTCAATGTTACAGTTATCAGAGACGAGACCGCGCCACAATAAACGTCGGAAGCCAGAGGGGATTGTGGTCATCTCGTATGCATGTGCTTGGAGCGTTTGACGATAGGAAGTACACAGTTTCTACCTCCTACCGATAGATATAGAGGTGCAGTAGGCTTGTGGTTTCGGCATTTTATGGCTAGAGCGATATATTCGAGATGCTACCTACCTGCATCCGCGTTATGAAAGTGTCCATAAACAATTTGTAAGTCAAATGCAAGTGTTAAGTACCTAGAATTCAATAATAATTTGCTGTTTGTTGGTTTTAGATGTGTAGAAAGTGTTATTTGAGCAAATGTTTGGTTTCTGCAAGTTAATCCTGAAGTGAGCTGCTTGAAATTGATGTATGAGTGCATAAACAACTGTCTGGGGTACACTTTTT